GGGCGCAGCGTTGTTGGGGGGGGGGGGGGGAACCGGTGTTGCAGCGGGCAATACGGGCGCACGCAAATATTCTGCCCTGGTTAAACTCGTATCGCCCGAGTTCACGATGAAGAACGCGCGGGAAAGGTGAGCGTCGGTGCCAGTGATGATGTCCTTGCGTTGCCGGTCCTGCTCGCCCACTCGTCGCACTCCCCCTCGCTGCGAACATACGGGATCTTGCGCAGCTGGGGGGACTCAAAGCCCAGGTATTCGCTCGATTCGTCGGGTGAACCGAGTACGCCTTCATTCGCAATTTATTCGACACTGCGAACCAAGTTGAGTACAAGGTAATCATAGTGGCAAATAGAGGGAGGGGCGCACAGGTAGAGGTCGCTTGAGGGCGACTGACGGCTACCGTACAAAGATCTTCGTGCATTTGGCGTCGTCCGCAAGCAGGATTGTCGGGACATCTAGATGATACATCGACAAAACGGTCGTCTAAAATGTTGTCTAGTGGCGGAAGGATACACATCTCGAGTAGCTTGTACATCCGTTCGAGTCTGAGTCGTTACATCTTGAGAGCCAGGGAAGGAGTGAAGCCGGTACGTGGGCGTGGTCGTGATAGAGCGATGGAAGCGCGAGAGACTCTTCTTCGCTTGCGTCTCCGCAAAAAACATTCTCGCGTCCATCAATCCTAAGATCTACGTGAGAACCAAAGCTTGTATCAAGAGCCAATTAAACCTACGAGCTTCTGGGTCACTGCGCAAAATGTACGGGCTTGAGTGACAGAGGGCAGCTGGCCACGGGTAGCTTCGTGATCTTGCTCTTCAAGGCGGTCAAGCCATACTCGGATCCTACGAGATCTTGTCGTCCTCGAGTCGCGTCTTGTTCTTCTTTGAGGACGTCGTCTGACGCTGCCTGTAGGCCATGCGCAGCGGGGTTGGAATCTTAAGTCTTAGCGCGGCCTGTCCCTCTGAGACGCGTTCTCATGGACGGTGCCAACAGGGCCGTTCTTGTTGCGCTTGTACTTCGCATCTTCAGTCGCTTCGCCGACGGCCGTCTTCGCTCTGGGGAAGGAACTCACTTTGGCGCCCCAGAGCGGATCGGACACGAGCGGCCGTTATGAGATTCAGCATTGTGTCCAGATCATTCTGCTGCCAATCCTCAGATATCAGTAGACCTAGAGTGGGTGCGTATACGCACCTGACCCCAGCCTCATGTTATAGCTCTAATCAACGACCTCTCGCTCCTGGTGGGTGCTCCAAAAACACGAGTCTGGCTGACCACTGAACTCCGCGAGGCACTAGGAAGGCGAGCAATCGTTCAATCGAGAGACCCATAAAGGAGCCCCAAGTCTGAGGCAGGCGGCTTGTCGGTTTAGACGGGATGTGATGGTGGCCGGGCCCTCAACTCTGTGTCGGAGAGAGGGATTCGTTCGCAGCGGTGAAAGGTAAGGCGAGCCATAACTGCGATAGAGCAGAGAATACGTTCTGAGGCACCTGCCTAGTTGAGGAAGGGTCTGTGTAAGGATATCTGATGCTGGATGGAGATCAACACGGTGAATGTCGAGGAGCAAAGCAAAGCTCGGACTAAAAGCGCCGGTGAAACCCGGACGCCACAAGGCCTCGGCGATTTGTTCGAGATCCGCTTTGGGCCTTGGGTTTTGTTCATTGGGCCCACGCGTCGCGAAGACTCCCGCGACGTTGCAGAGAACGTGGCTGCCACATTTGATGTGTGGCAGGCGAGCTGACTGACGACGCCACGCCGAGGCTCCAGGCTCCGTCGTACCCGTCTGCCAGTAAGATGCATAGTGTTCGCCGTACGTCCACGAGCTGACACGCGCGCCGCGGCTACCTCGCGTCTATCGTGTGGTGCTTTTTCTCAGACATAGATGTACGCTGACTGGTATACAGAGGCGACAACGAACTTGCGAAGGCGGCCCTCCCCCGCGCGGTCCATTATTTACGAAAGGGCAGCAGCATGGTGCATTGTATGTGTGTTCGGAAGATCGTTCGTCGGAGCTCATTGGCAGGTCAGCGCGCAACGTCACGACAAGATAAGATGACAAGAACTTGGCATTGCGAGATTCGCGAGTCACAGACAAGGTAAAACGAGAAACACAGGTTTGGTACCACTGAAACGTTGGCTGTGAACGAGACTCTGACAACAAGAACGGACCTGATACCGCTGCAGCAGGCTCTCGTCGCTCGACGGCGCGCTGACACGATCAAATACTCGACTCAAAGCCCAACTACCGAAACCGTCGTTATCGCCCCGGTTCGGAAGCGGGCGCAGTGCCTTGCGGGCTTGTTTGACTTGGCGTACTGGGCATTGGTATCGACGAAGGTGATAGATACATGCGCTGGCCCGACCTGGCCTGACCTTGACCCGGCTGGTGCGGCCTTCGGGACCGAGCGTAGGTTAGTGATCGCTTCCGAGAGGTTCGAGCGGGAGCAGGACAGGGATCCGGTTGTTGGCATGATCACGCGACGCGAGCGCAGAGAACTTTTCTTCGTTCGATTCTTGCGACGGATGTTCCTGCGCCTGGATCTGTCCTGGTGCCAGTGTGAGACGTGGAGCGGTCTCGAAAGTCGAGCATACGCACTAGCTTCTGGCACGCCTCTCTGCAATACTCCCGCTCCGGCTGCAGGAGACTCTTGCGATGCGCCACTCCGTGGTGCTGCTCGACGACGCGGAGATGCATTTACATCGCGTACGGTAACACACGAGATATTCTCGCCCCCGAGCTTCGATTTGATGTCCGAATCATACGCCTTCCTGCGCCTGCCGTAGTCTTTTCTTGGGTGAGGCAAAGTGAGATGCGGGACTCAGCGCGACCAGTCTTCCTGAGATGCAATCGAATGGGTGGTAAAAGCAGCGATGTCCTGGTCGCACACTTGCGCTACGTCTTCAGTTGCTTCACCGACGGTCATCATCGGTCTCGAGACGTCATCCTGGCCGAGGCGCACAGAGGATTGCACACGCGCGAAGCGTCTTGAGATTCGGTGTTGACGAACATGCTCGGAAGGTGCGTGAAAGTCCGGAATACGCACGGGCGTAGGCGGTCTTCGTGAGCTGCTCGCGTCGCTGTGTCCTCGAGCACGTATTGCGTAATGTCGTAACATGCAGCAAGGCCTCGCATCTGGATATCCTTCATGGGCTCTCAGACAGTGGTTAGCGAAGAGGAGGTATGTGTGCGTACCTGTGTCCCAGTTTCATGTTGTACCTCCAGCCAGCGACCTTCTATCCCGGCTCGTGCCCCTAAGTGAACTATGACGAGTTCGTCCGACTGCTGCAACATGGCGATAAGCTCTAGAGCCAAGGAGTCAACAGAAGGGCCCCTGGAGAGGTGCAAATACGCACATTATGATCACAGCCGGATAGACGGTGACTTGAAGAGCGCGAAGCTCAGTCGCATTGTCGGAGTGTTTATGGCTCGAGCAAAGGAGAAGGCCTTGAGGGAGGTTTAGGCAAGGAGTTGGATGCGTTTCAGTGTCATGACATGTCGGTGAAAGTCTGAGTTCAGTGAATTATTGTAGAGTACTTATGGCGGACGCAGGCGAAAAGGCACTGCGGGCGCTCGGAGAGAGTCCGGGGGTTAGGGTTTCTCTGCCGTTGGCGCCACTCTATTCTGGGCCCTACTAAGTTACTCCTCGTACGCTGCGTTCATTCTAATTTCTCCGCAAACTGTGCTTAGCCACGCGGCAGAGAGACCAATTAGAAACCACGCGTCTTCTTGTGCGAAGATCCCTGCGAGCGAGACAAGACATTTTTCAGGAGAGTATTGGGTCGCCTGTAAGTGCTGCTGCAGCAGGCAACGTCCCGGAGCCGGTGCTGACGCAGGCGTGGCTCTGCGCAGGGTGGCCGATATCGACACTCTGTCAACGCCACTCTCGTGTGCATTCGGGGTGCTCATCCGCCGCCGAGACGTCACGGTCATGCCGCAGCGACTCTGGGTCGTGTCAGCAAAGCCGTACTCGACCCCGAGCCGCGCGTCGTTCCCGACGCGAACGTATTGGGATGAGAACAAGTACCCGAACGTTCTATCGAAGAGCGTGCGTGTGCAAGCTCATCCTGATCCGATGGACGCAGCGCTGATATAGCTAGTAACAGCCCTCCGCCTGTATGGCGCCACGCGGTCGCTGCTTGAGCGCGCCATACTCTCATCGTCGTCGCCGCCATCGCGCCCGTCTTAGCTTGTGAACACCAGCTCGAAACCAATTTCGCGCCTGGGCTCGCAGAGCGCGTCGCCTGTACGCGCAGCGTCACTGATCCTGTCCACCGCGTACAGCAGGAGATTCAACACCATAAGCCACGCGCTCTTGACAAGCACTGTCATCGCAACGTCTTCCGAGCAGCGAAAGTCTTCGAAGACGACCGCTCGGGACCTGAGCCCAGAGCACTTCTCAAACCGCCGCCAACTCATCCACCATCCTCTAGCCTCCGCGTGGCACCAAGCTGTTTCTCGCACCCTTAGTGTCCGTTGGTGAGGAAAAGCGAGTTCAAGGCAGGAAAACCATTGTTGCTAGACGGCAGAGATGCGGCCTTTACCGTCTATGTATCCCGGTAAGCGAAAGTGGTAAGCGAAGGGTCTCGTCGGTGAGTGATCAGTTAACATACGACGCTCATGCACTCCTAACACGCCCGAATAGAGCCGCTCTGCAGTCTGTCTGTCCAACGCTCGTTGTTGCCGAAGAAGATTCGGCTGTCGATCTTCACGTGGATATCCTCGTCTGACAAGCTACGGATCCATGCGAGACCCGATGGGAAATTGCTCGGGCTATCAGCATGGCTGTATGGCTGTATGGCCATGAGGCGGCAGCGCAAGAGATCAGGTCGAGGGCTAGTGGAACGGGGCTCGGGACGTGCGACGAATGTCGTGGGTGTGCCGCCGGGCAGAGCAGGCTCAAGTTTTACCGGGATGGACATTTTGCTTTGGTGCGTCTCATCTGCGTCCATCTGTGTGCTTTCATTTTTTTACAGATGGACTGCAGAATCGTATACACCAGCTAGGCTACACGCGCGTCTCGGTCGTCGGGAACGAAGACGGAGACTATGCACGCGAGCCTGCCAGTGTGCTGCTGGGCGGGCGGTTCGATGTACGCGTCTGACGCGGTAAATGGGCCCAGCATGTGCGCCGTCTCTTGTGCAGGCTCAGGCTCGCGGCCTTCGCACGCTCCATTGTGCCACGGCTTTGCACCTGTCCACTTTGCCCCCGAGTTGCGCATGGCGCAACGGCTGCCGACCCGACTGCATCAAGAATGCAGAGAGCATGGGCCCCGAGGTCGAACAGGGTTCTTGAAGCATCCGCCCACATCCTGTAAGTACTATTAATGCATATTTGCGTCGTTCAGCCGCTGACGCGCCGCCAAGCTTCTCGACATGCCTCGCGAACTCCTCCCGTTTTGCCATCGCTCCTACAGATGCTGAACAGTGCTCTCGTTAGGGATGGCTCGCGCATGCTGCCCTCATGGTCGACCGGCTCCCCGGCTCTTGCGCCGCTGACCGCACCGCGTACAACCTCCCCACCGCTCCCGATTTGCGTCAAGCCGTACACGCTCCCCGGACGACCTGCCCGCGCTGCACGTCCAGCGGAACGACTCCATCGAACACCACCTCGGACTCGTACGCCTGGCGCGCCGTCTCCGTGCGACCGGCTGCATTTCGAGTTCCTCACTTGCAAGCGCAGCCGCAGGACGAAAACATGTGTTGGTGTCGGTGCCTGCGGACGATCGGGCAGGCCACTGAAGGAGGTCGAAAAGGAGGGCGCAAGCGGCA